ATCCTAAACCCAGAGAATAATAGAAGAACTAAGTCAAAATCACCTTTCCCTATTCACTGGGTGATTTGTATCGTGTATCTCACTAAAGCATACACTGTTTCTGCCAAAACCAAATTCCATAAATTCCAATGGAAACATCACAATGAAAAGGAAGCAGAAGAAATTATTCTGTCAATGTCCACACAATGTCATGAATGAATGAATTAATTAATTAATGAATTGACATAGATAAATCAAAAGAAAGGAAGATGACCACCTTTTGTTCCTCATTTACAAAACCCAAAATCAAAGAGCCCCTGAAAGAAAATACAGTGTTCTAGATCACCAGCTCAACAAACATGAGTTCTTTTGAGCACTGTTTGAGACACACCCTGTTCAAGACCTCCACAACCTGAACTCAATTCTCCATGCAGTCTTGCACTCAGTGATAAGAGTACACTTCAGGTACCCTGTGGCTGTATACCCATCATCTATCTAATCTATGCTCTGTCAACCCAAACACCCCTTTAAGATGTGGAAGCTCATCACTGAACACTGATAGCACTTATCTCAATATGACTGCATTGCAAGGAGAACTCAGAGATCCCGAAGGACTCCTGAGTCAACAATTAAGAGATTAACATCAAAATATCTAAACTGCTTCTACACAAACATCACAAAGGCACATTAATTAAGGCATTCCGCCTCAGATTCCAACTGCAGGCACATACAATCTCAGTCCTTGAAAGATAGTAGCAGGGGGTTTATGAGTTCCAGGCCAGTAAAGAAACCTAGCAAGACCCTGGCTTAAAAGAAGAAAGTCTTGTCATTGTCAATAAAATGCACAGTGTCTATTCACCTCAACAATGTACCCAAACTACCAGAAAGGCTAAAAACATCCCAGATCATTTGCATTTTAGGCTTTACTATTTATAGGTTTTACTCTTTCTGCCATGTTTATTTTCAATTTCATCTTCTTCCTGCAGAAATGAGGCTTTTAAAGAACAGCTCACAAAGACTTCTGTAAGGTTTTCTTTCCCCTGAAGACTAGAGAACTCTTCCTAGGGTGTGGGCATGAATGGTCTCATCTCTTCTGTTATGTTAAAGTTTATTTGTGTATGTGCATGTGCATGTGGGTGGCCCTGTTATTGAGTTAAGGGAGCATTGATTTTAAATGCACATGCAAACAGACAGAATTTGAGGCCTGCCTGGTCTACACAGTAAATTTCTGGACAGCCAGAGTTACACAACAGAACTTGGTGGTGGTGGTGGTATTACCAGGAGACAGTTGTAAACAACCCAACATGGGTACTGCGAACCCAATTCAGGTCTTCTGCAAGAGGAGGAGGAGCATTTAACACCACTGAGCCATCTCTCCAGCACCATCCCATCTCTTATCATGGCGTATTATCTTGTACTATATAAATGATGAATTGCATCCTAATGACTAAACAAAGCACAACTAGGAAGAAGAGAACAAAAAAGAACATCTTGCTCTATTCATCAAATATATACTTGGACGGCAACAAAGTGACCCTAAAATAGTTCATCTGATCCAAGAAATAATACAGGGCCATTACACAGTAATATTATATTACTGGGTGGGATATAACAAACCTTCCAACAATACCAGAGACTTTCCCAGGTATTGTACAGTTTCAAATTTTAATTTGGGAAAGTATATTAAATAAAAGAGAAGAAGTTAGATAAAATTAGAGGAAAAGCTCCCTAAAGGCTCATTTGTCTGAAAGAAAGGACACCTCTTGTTCATACACAGCTCACACGCTGGCAAAGGCATTAACAAGTTATCACAACACAGGCACTTGCACCTTTAGCAGGTGGTGGAAATGAGGCCTTTCCAATTACATCTGAAGAAAGTAAGATTGACCCAGTGGTCCTTAGAGAATGAGAACGAAAATGGAGTTAAATGTGATGAAAAAAATGGTGGTTTGAATGAGATGTCCCCCCACAGTCTTAAACATCTGAATATTTGATACCTAGCTAATGGTGCTGTTTCGGGAATGTGAACTTGCTGAAGGAAATATGTCACTGAAGGGTGTGTTTTCTTATGACTTTGTGGCCCGAGCCACTAAAGCCACTTGGGATTCACTCAGTTTTGTGTTTGTTTGCAGTAAAAAAATGTGAGCCCTCAGATTCCTGCCTTCTTGCTCCTACAGCCAAACCTGCTGCTGTGTCTCCCTGCAATGACAGACTCCCTGGTACTGGAAACGCTAATATACCCATCTTCTCTAACCCACTTTGGTCATGGTGTTTTATCACACACACCAACTTCCAAACAAACCTTCCTCTGTAACAACTCCAGCTTCTCTACAGGCACCTCTGCAAAACTGAGGCTGGAAGGACACTCGGAAGTCTTAGGATAATGATTCCCAGATGTTATCTGGGTGCCCAGAACAAGGGCAATCAATCAATCAATGAGTGAATGAATAAGTGAATATAACAGTTAGGTTATATGGAATGTGCTGACTAATTTTATGCCACTTTAACACAACGTATGGTCATCTGAGGAGGGATCCTCGACTGAGAAAATACTCCCGTAAGGTCAGGTTTCAGGAAAACCTGTAAAACATTTTCTTAATTAGTGATTGATGGGAGCAGGGCCAGTCCATATGTGTGTGGTTATCCCTCAGCTGGTGATCCTGGGTTCTAAGAAAGCAGTCTTTGGAAGCCATAAGGAGCAAGCTAGTAAGCGGCATTCCTCCATGGCCTCTGCATTACCTCCTGACTCTTAGGTTCCTGCCCTGGCTTCCCCAATGATCAACTGCAATGTGGAAGTATAAGCCAAATAACTTTCCTCCCCACCTTCATTTTGATCGTAGTGTTTAATCAGAACATTAGGAACCCTAACTAAGACATGGGATAAAACTATAATGGCCAAATCATACCTGGGCACATAGCAATACCCCTACACTGTGAAAACTAAAACAACTATGAAAAGCTGTAGCTCAACAGTCTCCTAAGTGCAAATCTGTTTAAATTAACCAATGGAAAAGCCATCTATGACAGTGAACATCTGCACAATTAGAACCTCTGATATATAAAAAGATCATTATAGGCTGGAGGGATAGCTCAGGGCTAACAAGCACTGGCTGCTCTTCCAGAGGACCTGGGTTCATTTCCCAGCATCCAAATGAGAGCTAACAAGTGTTTGTAACTCCAGTTCCAGGAAATCCAACACCCTCACACAGACACATACAGGCAAAAACACCAATGCACATAAAATAATAAATTTTAAAAATTTTAAAGTTCATTTATGTTTAAGCCCTAATAATTCACTAGCTCCAAAACTCCTGATAGTATGAAACCATAGAGTAGTAATCAAACTGTCACAACTCCTAGACTATGAATGAAGTAAAGGACACTTAAATAAAAAAAGTCAAATTTTCTTAAAACACAGGAGATAAACTCTTCTTAAAAGAAAAAGAACAGAGATTTTTGTGGAGCTTGACATGGCTACCGGGAGCTACAGAGAGAACAATATCCAAGTTATATTTTTCATTCTATGGAAAAAAAAAAGTTTGCTAATTAAACTCACATAGGCTGGGGTATGGCTCAGCCTATGCACCTGTAAAGCAAGAGCAGGCTCCACCCCCAGTATCACCAAAAGCAGTGAAAACTTAACAACCATATATATTCAGAGCATAATTGAAGAGATTTCTTTTGGTAAGCTTCCTATGGATACTTATCTGGAATCAGTTAAATGGCAGTAAAGAAAGGCACACACCACATTACAATCTCCAAAGACAATACATAATTTCAAAACTACAATAAAATTGCAATATCTCACACTTAGAATCTGTTTTTGTAGAGTCCAAAACTAAGAAGTACAACCAACCTTTATCAGACTGTAGATTGTGAGGCTCCCTGGTCCCTCTAATAGCTCCTTTTCTTTCTAATGAATTAGCCCTGCTATGCCTTCAAAAATGGATGGCATAGTTTTGGGGTATGGTGGCTCGCACCTGTGACCTCAGTACTAGCAAAGAGGCTGAAAGCAACTGAGTGGTTAGCAGCACTCCAGGTTCAGTTCCTAGCACCCACATGGCAGCTCACAAACATCCAGGCTCCAGAGAATCCAACACTCTTCTTTTCTCCTTGGGCACTGCATATACAGACTTGCCTGTTAGCAAAGCACCCATAGACATAAAATAAAATTTAAGGGGAGAAAAGAAGATAGAGGTTGAGATAAGATTCAAGGCAATACTGGGCAGGTTCCAAGCCAGCCTTGGATTCATAGCAAAAACACTGTCTCAAAAAACTATAACAGCAAACACATGAACAAAAATTTCTAGAAACTTGTAAACAGAATAAAGTTAAGCCTGGGGAGATGGCTCAGTGAGCAAGAGCACTTCGGCGACCAAGCCTGAGTTTGAATTCAAAGAATGCACAGAAAACAATGGACATGGCTGAGCACAGTAGGGGTGGGGTGGCAGCATTAAAGGGTACAGCTGGGGGAGGGGATAACTGGAGCTTACAGGCTGGCCAACCTAGGCAAATGACTGGCCTAGACAAAGTTCCAAACTCTGAAAAACCCTGTTTCAGGGAATTATGCAAACAGCAAGAGGAAAGTGTCCAACACCTTCCTGTGACCTCTCTAGATGTATGCACACTCTGGCTCTCAAGACCACAACACAGTCCCAGCACCTTATAGTGTGTTGTGTATTCAATCATTCTAATTATTTTGAAAGATAATCTGCCTAGTATGTGTTATAGACGATATCTAGAATAATTAATTTAAACAAAAGACATGACTGATAAGAATGGGTTGGTATTATGAACAAGAGAGCTATCTTTACATACAGAGCAGGGAGCTCTCTTCCCAGCAACTTCAGCTAAGAACCATCTTCCTAAGGAAAAAAAGTGAGCTTTGTAACCTTATTTCAGTGCTGAACCAAAAACAGCTGGCTGATGACATTCTAAGCTGGTTAACACTTTTGCCCACCCCACCCCCATAATGTGCTGACTGGAGAGAAAGGAGAGGGTGACAAAGACACACACTGTACCTGTTGTTGAGAATTGTAGTCAAAAAGTCCCACAGTTGCTGCTGCTGAGTCCACAGGTACCTGCGTGCCTGAATAATCAAACTGCAGAGGCTCCATGCCCACATGTTCCATGGGGTCCAAGGGGACACTCTGGGACTCCATGTTAGAGAAATCCTCCACAGGCTTGGCACCATTGGTGCTGGTCAGCTGGGCTAAGCCCTCAGAACCATTCTGGTTTGGACCCAGAAGATCCACTTCATTAGCAGAGTTCTGGCAATTACCAGGGGTACGGCTAAACAGAGAAAGTAAAGGGCATTAAACCTTATTTTGATCGGGGAGGGACACTACAGCAACCCCCAGTTTCTATGTCCTTGACATAGTTCATTAGCGGCCCTGAAAGCTGGTTCTACAAAATAGCCTGAGATCTTCGACAAGGCTTACATTACAGGGTTGCAGCCTCTAGAATGAGTCAATCGTTTGCCTTCCCTCCTAGACACACCTGTTGAACCTATACTATCTGCTATTAATATACAATATTCCTTTAATGTGGAATCTATATTGAAGAAACACAAGAGTAAACTAAAAACAATATTGCCTGGGGCAGCCATGAAAACAAATCTCCCCCACAAACACAGGGGTATTATACACTCTACCAGAGCAGCACTCCTCCTTAAACAAAGGAAACTAGAAAGGTTGGTTTCTGGGCCAGGCATAGTGGCGCACACCTATGATCCCAGAACTCAGTGCAAGTTTCAAAGCCAAGCTTGAGTACACACAAGACTTTGTTTCAAAATAAAGCAAAACACCCAAGGTTGGTTCCTAGGGGAAATTCCAATTCTTAGAATGATTCTAATAAAAGGGTTTTCATGTATTATTTATATTACTATCAGTGGTGAACACTACCCCCACCTGCCAAAGAAATGGAAGTAAATCAATTCAAAAATGGGTAAAGCTTCATTACTGACCACAAGCTCCTACTCCGAAGATAATGCTAAACTTAAGTTAATGTACTGATGCACCATCCTTTATGTCACCAAACTCCAAAAAGCAAAGTGTAATCACTGGGCTGAAAGTTTAAATGAGTACTATTCTGGGACTTGAGATATAGCACAACCCTATGTTAAATAACTATCATCCAAACCCATTACAGGCAAGGGAGAGTAGCCTATGGCTGCACTCAATCCCTTTGTCATAATAAAAATAATAACAATAACAATACATAATAATAATAATACAGCTGGTACAAGTAAAAAGTATTGTCATGTTCCACCACAAACACCACCACCTCCTGCCCCAGCCAGATACCAAAAAGCACTACTCCAGGATGCTTGTGATTCAGGGAGGTAGGGTCACCTAAACACATCCCAAGAACACAGGTAAGCATTTATTGCCCTTCGCCTCAAATTTCAAAGACTCTAATTCTATACATGTTCAATATATATATAGGCTTATTAAACAACTGATAATTGTTTTGCAAATGATGCAAAATACTTTTTTGTACTAGTGGGTATTAGGAGTGTATATAAATGCATGTTTAAGTCTGTATTCAAATAAACACACATTAGCTTTAGACTGGCATTATTTGTGTGTGTGTGTGTGTGTGTGTGTGTGTGTGTGTGTGTGTGTGTG